AATATACTTATTAGTCATTCTTCAGCTCATGGAGAGTTGGCTTACTCGCCTTCTCCGATTCGTTTCGTTTTGCTTGCACGCCTCCCTTATCATGTTTGTCTGCATAAATAAAAGTAAGAAGTGAGTTTATCTTCAAAACGGTATTCAGCTTCTTACTACCTCCCCATTGTGCACTCGATCATTCGTCCACACTGAAGTCTAGTAGCAAGCCGCTAATGACTATGATCACCACTACAGAAATTACGAACCTGTCACTGGTAAGAAGAGTTATTCCATAATAAAGAATATGATTGCTGGCGATTTTAGTGGTATCAAAAGAATATCGAAATCGAGCGCCAGGGGTAAAATTACAGAGATGGCGCAGCAAAGAATCGCAACAACACTAACAGAATGCTTGCGCGTAAAGAATATGTGTTATAAACAGAAAAGTACAGTTGAATGATCACTGGTACAATTGGTTATAATAATGAATGTTTCTATCAAAACTAATCGCGTTCTCTTCATAAAAGTGATCTATAGGTTAGTCTTAGGAGTTATCATTTATCGAATCTTTTTTCCGGATATAACACCCTACCAATGATTGAAACCTACATCTTTAGTTCATCTGGTAAGTCATTTACCATAAGACTATCAAATTGTTACGCTCGTCTCTAGGGTATGCGCTTAAACTATTACGAGTTCACCTTAGTCGAATAACGAGAACAAAACAATGAACCAACGGTCCTGGTAGGCTACTGTGATCCTTTGACCAAATCGAATCAGTAAGAAGCCTTGATATAGTGTAGAAATTGTTGTATTCTACAAAATACCCAGCCAGCACACAAAATGAATCCAAGCACTCAGATTGTGTTTATTTATACTCCATACAGACATCTTTGGGACAGTCACAAAAAATAGCACAATAAAATGACACAGTGACCAATCACAGCCAAGGATTTTCCTGGTGTGAAATGTGATCTCAAGGTCTACTGATCAGTCCATGAAATAAATCCAAAATAAAGATATATTTATCAAGCAATTTCTGGGGATCTAACATCCCCAACAGAAATTCACTCTAAAAAAGTTCTCCATATTTGTATGCAACCAATTTGTGGTATACTATAACATAATCCAGTTCGATCGGTGGGCATTATGTACCTTATGAGACTTGAAAGTCTTGGATTCATTTGCGGAATGGTTAAGACTGTGTGCCTGTGTGTGTGTGTGTGTTTATGATCCACCTAGCTGAGATCATTCCTTGTGGTGAAATATAACTTCTGCTTCAAGTAAACTCTACAAACCTGTAACTTCAACATTTGATTACTTTGAGTTTAGCCAGGAGGTAACTTGTATGCTGGGGACAGTAAGAGGTTATTTGCAAGAGGAAAGAACATGGGAAAAGGTGGGTCAATGACTCAATAAGTACATTGGATGCAGTTACATTTAAATAAAGACAGCAACTGACAGCAATCATAGCTAATGCAGGCTTGAGATTGTTGAGATTCATGGAAATTATGAATCAATCATTGTTAGACAACCATTAGATACCTGGACGTAATAGATAGCCATTTTGTCCTAGTATCAGACTCATCAGCAGTGAGCACCGTCAACCTCCGCTAGCAAAAAATCGACCTGAGAACTTTCGGTCTCGCGCGCAAACGCTTAGCCTCATACTAGGATGAAACAGCCCTCCACCGCTTACAGGTTTCTAATGGTAAGATAACGTTGCTCGATTCATGATTACAGTAGAATAACAAAACTGGTGATATGTTAAGTATTTTCATGATGTCGAACAATTTATACCTGAAAAATGATTGAATATTGACAACCTCAAGAAAGTAATGAAATGAGAAGATTGAATTTTGTAAGAGACCTGTGATATTGTTGGGGACGTTAGATCCCCAAAACTCAATCGATAAAGGTCCTAATTTTGGATTTTTGTGTTTTCGCTCATAAGCTACTCAGTTGACCCTGAGATTACATATCCCTCTCGAAAAATCCTTGACTGTCATAGATTGATGTATTAAAGAGAGTGTGTTATAAACAGAAAAGTACAGTTAAACAATCACTGGTACAATCGGTTATAATCATGAATGTTTCTATCAAAACTAATCGCGTTCTCTTCATGAAAGTGGATTTTACTACAAGAATTTATCACAAATTTCGTTTTGTTCTCCTCATCAGCTGCACACAACTTGAAACACTTAGAAAAATCATCAGTACAAATACTTCACAAGAAAGAGTTTAGTTGGAAGTAGCCGTGATCGCTTACATCAACATAAATATTAGATTGAATAAACGATTGTTACATAAGTAGTGTGAATAGTCCACCAAAGTGTCAACTGCATGTCTGGCTGAGCCACAGGATTGAGCTATAGTATTGTAGTGAAGGAGAACACAGGTGGGGCAACAGAACTTTATTTAACGAAAATTACAGAGTTACTCAGTAAAATAGGAAAACCATATCGTAAACGGTTAATTTGCAAATCTTCAATCCATCATCAATCCATTGTCTGACATTTCACTATTCATGCGTTTCATACAAATTCCATTGTGTTCCCACTCTTCCTTTCTTGATCTTCCCTCATCTTCTGCTGCCAGACATTACGTTTACACTCACGTCATATACTACTTATAAGTAGCGCGCACCACAGTATGTCACGTCGAACTATCAACACGCAGCCAGTGTAAAAATTACATAGACGATTGAAGATTCATATACCTTCTACAGAAGTACATTCTACGACACTGATGATCACAAAAGTCGACAGGGCTAGAAACACGTAGTTACGTAACAATCACTTAGAGTGTCAGTTTTACTGATATATTAAACGGTACTGTCACCTCAAAATACTCATTTTTAAGATAAAAAAAACACGATTTGTTCAAATAGGAGCTAAAAAACTATTTCCCATGTTTGTATTATATAAGTAAGCTTCAACTTTTTTTAAAAAAAAGGAGGATGAAACCTAGCCAGCCAACTGAATCACATACAAAGAAGCTTAACAACAGGGCTTCTAAAGATTTCTCAAAAAAGGGGTTTTTAACAATCGGAAAAAAGTCATAGAATTAACATACTGGCATCAATGAGAAGTATTCTCAGTTAGAGCTTTGGAGATTTGTGTTTTTACACATTTTTGAAATCACCAATCAATATTGTTAGACTACCAACATTAGAAACCTGGAAGAAGTACTGGACGGCCGTCAAGTCCTGGTGTGGGACTCATCAGCAGTGCGCATCCATGACTCCTGCACTTCGCAAGATTCGAACCCTTCACTTTCGGTACTGTGCGCGAAAGCCTAACCATCGGACCATTGGGCCGGCATGCAAAGGTGTTAATGTCTAACTCTGATTGATCTAGAGATTTTGCGCGACCCCACCCATACCAGGACGAACGGGCCGTCCAGTGATTCCAGGTTTCTTTATGGTGGTCTAACAATGATTGATTGATGATTTTAAATGTGTAAAAACACAAATCTCCAAAGCTTTAACTGAAGATAGTAAGTTATTAATGGGAATCGTGAATCAATCGTTGTTCAACCTTGTCGGTTGTAGGTACTTAATCACCAAAGATAATGGATAAGGACACTCTCAATATCGTGGACATTGATTGAAGTTATACATGAATACCGGTGGATGCCGACTGAGTAGTCTAGAGCTAAGGTGTTTGTGTGAGACATGACAGTTCGCCATATGCTCTCAATCGACCTGTGGTGTTCGAGTAGGGAGCTTGTATAAGGTTAATATACTTCTCTGGTACTCCTTTCAATGACAGACACTGCCACAGAACCTCACGATCTACAGAGTCAAATGCCGCCTTTAGGTCCAGGAAAACAACTATTGTAGCGCGTCTAAATGTGTGTCTGTGTTCCAGGACCTGTCGTAGTGGAACACAGACACACATTTGAGTACATGGGTTATTCGGAAGCATGAGTTGTTGATGTGCACATATTTGTGTACATGATTTTGTTTCATTGTGATGATGATGACTAGACCACACACACACACACACACACACAACTTAAAACGAATATCCCCAATGAAATCCATTATTATTCTCCTCTATTGTATTAGTTATAACACTATCATGACTATTATACTATTTTACGGCAAAAAAATGCATTTTTCTTTACGTAGAGTACAGTTCTACAAATTTATATACATATTTAAATGTATATCCTGCGATTCAGTGATGTAGGCGTAAATAAAATCCTGTCTCTTTCTCTGTGTTCATAACATGATTGTCTGAATCATTGTTGATTTATTTCAGCAAATTAAATGAAGAACAGAAAAAAAAAGTGTAGATATTTTGATCAACAATAATAAACAAACAAACAAGCCAACAACCGGACAGCGGGACAATTGAACAAACAAACAAACAAACATTTTCACATTGTCAATGTTCAATTCCTCCAATATTTTAACCAACTAACTAACTAACTAACTAACTCTATATATGCGCATTGGTCCATTCTTGAATACGATGATAATACTACAGAGATTCGTTAGTGTGTGTGTGTGTGCGCTCGTAGATGGATGTGTGTACGCTGGCAAGCCAGAGAGAGCGAGAGAGAGGCAGAGAGTGAGTGGATACACTTCAACTATAAAAGGAACCATACACTGTAATTCATATCATTTCATGTTCCGCATTCACATTAAGTAATATAACTCATCTCTCTCTCTCCTCTGTCTCTCTACACACACACACACACACACACACACACACATATCAAACTATCATAACAACAATCAACAATCAAGTGAAAAGAGTTAAATCTGTCTTTATACTCAATTAAATTATTCATTAAAAAAATCAAATGATCATAATTTTGTGGTAATTAAAAAACATTAAAGCTTGTTACGTAATCACGTCAACAGTGTGTGTGTATACATAAACAAAAGTCTCTCTCTCTATATATATATATAAGTAAATATTTGTAAGTAATATAGTGTCAATTACACAAATTATCTCCTCTTGTGACGAAGAACACTCTCTCATTCATTCACTCACACACACATACACCACAAACTTTCACACACCAACAGAAATGATTCTGTTACAATCAATGCCTCGATTACATTCGCGATGGTTTGGATTTTATATCATGAAAATAAATTTATTGTCAACTCTATTCATGAGTACCGCGATGATGATGACGATGATCAATGTTCAAAGTGATTCAGGTTAGTTCAGTGTTCATTGTCAGTTATAATAATAATTTCATGGTACTTGGTACTCTTGTCAGGAAACTGTATCTATCATATTGAGTTGAATTATATGTATACACATATATGATTAAAATCTATGTCAGTTAAATAGGTGGTTCCCATTAAATTGATCAGTGTTAGACTACCATTAAAAACCTGAAAGCATTGGATGGCCGTGAAGTCCTGGTATAGGAATGACTACTCATCAGTGGCAGTGCTCATCTACAACTCTCGCTACTCGCAGGAAACGGAGCCAAGACCTTCCGGTCTTGCACCTCTGAGCCGGCGGCATCCAAAGGATGTTAATTATCCAACTCCGATCAATTTCACGGTAACAGTCTAGACTGATTAAGAAAACAATTTGTTTGAATGAAGTCACATGGTGTTTTTTTCCGCTGTTCAACATGTGTTCGACATAAATTTAGAAAGCGAAAAATAAAATCAAAATTTAAAAAATATCATAGAATGACTACTATATTAACATGTACAAGTATGAGTTACATAATGTTTTGTTTTTAAAATAAAAATTTAAAATGTCGTTGTTATGTTCATCAAAATGTATTAAAACGGTGATTTTTATATTTTTATCGACAGACAGCAGAATGAAATGCGATTCTATAATGATTATTACTATGATTAGGATTGTTTTCATTAAAAACATGAAAAGAAAAAAAACCTTGCTAATTTACAAGCCTATTACCTCTGGTGTAACATAGGTCACCGACCAGCACACTGCAACCTATTCCGCTCTGGGCTTTCCTTACCAGTTCTGTCCGGTTGTTGCGCATTCTTCTCATATCGATCTAATCTGTCTTTTCCTTTGGCCCCGAGTATTCCAAGTTGGCGCTTGTCTCATGATGTAGTTGGGTGATTTGTGCAATGCGCTTCTTTTCCACCTCCGGCACTTTTGACCTTATTTCCTCCTCTGATGGAATCTGGTCTGCTCTCTGCCACAGTAAATTGTTACTGATAGTGTCCGGGAAACGGATCAACAGTATCTTGTGTAGAAAACTGTTAGTAAAAGACTTACAGATTTTTGATGATGACTTTGCGTACAATAAAACTGTCTTGTATTGTTTCTATTGAGCGTCTATTTTTATTTTCAACCACAAAAAAAACATATTTCAACTCTTCACTAATTATTTAGATAGTAACTAACACTTGCACTTCAGTGTTGACTTGCATTCTACTTCAGAATTTCTAACAAGTTACATTTGGAAGCTACCAGATAGCATTAGTTTGTAATGACAAGTGTCATTTGTCAACTGTATCATGAATACAGAAGTAATATTTCGAGTATTTGTTGTTAATTTCTAAAAAAAATAACAATGTTTGTCATGATAAGTTTGTGAGGATTATACAGTGTTATTGAAATCATATATCGATTAATGGCAAACAACCATTATTAACTCCGAAAGCACTAAACAGCGGTTTCGTCTTAGTATGAGACTCTTCAGCAATGCACATCCACAACCCTTGCCTAGATGTGAGAATGGAACCCACGACTTTCAGTTTGGAGCGCTTCTTGACTACTGAGATAACATCTAACAATGTTTAACAATGCTTAACTTTGATCAGTTCAAGATATTGAGCAACCACATCCATTGTCTTCAGCTAGTAACTGTCTCTCACATTCAAGTATAGTTGAATTCCACTAGTTATGACTTCTCACTAAGATAGCGAGAATTTTCTAACAAAACTAGGTATTAGTGAGTAAATGACAGCTAGATAAATTGTCTGATTTTCTTACCTCTTTGTATATATGAAAGTTACATTAGTCATACAAGAAAATATTTTAGCTAACAAGCTATTGAAAATCATTCTTTATGGTTGCACAAGACCATGGATTGACTGAAGTTAGACATTAACACCGGTAGATTCCGTCATAATGACCCTGAGGTTAGGTGTTCGCACACAAGACCGACAGTCCTGGGTTCGTTTCATACCAATAGAGGGAGTTGTGGATTGCGCACTGCCACTGATGACTCTTAAAGTAGTGTATTGAAGGAGAACACATGTGGGGCAACCGGATTGTAATTAACGAAAATTACAGAGTTACTCAGTAAAATAGGAAAACCATATCGTAAATTATTCATTTGCAAAAGATCAGTTCATCACATATCGAACTGGACTGTTCCTCTGTTGCAAAACATCAATCCATTGTCACTATTCATGCGTTTCATACATAATTCCATTGTTTTCTAACTCTTCTTTTCTTGATCTTCCCCCATCTTCTGCTGCCAGACATTACGTTGACACTCACGTCATATACTACTTATAAGTAGCTTGCACCATACCAGGACTTGACGTACGACTAGTGCTTTCAGTTTTCTAATGTTGGCTGAACATTGATCGATTAATGATTTCAAAGGATCATTTAAATGCTGATTTTACCCAACAGATTCTCAATGACCTTAACTCTCTCTCTCTCTCTGCGCTCCTTAGATAAATTCTTTTGACATGAATTGCTTATGACGTAATTTAAATAAATGTTTAATAATATCAATGTGTGCATAATTTCTCCAAGTTGATGACCTTCATTTGATAATTATCATGATGAAATGATGATGATTCAAACTTTTATTATTATTATTATTAGTACTTTGTGTCATGGTGTACTTTTAAGGGATTATATTTAGTTAACTTATGATAATCACTGACTCATAAACTCACTAGATTATATTTGTCATTATGAAGATTTTTACACATTTTTGAAATCACTAATCAATCATTGTTAGACTAACACCATTAGAAATCTGGAAGCACTGAAAGATGGCCGTTTCGTCCTGGTATGGGACTCATCAGTGACAGTGAGCATCCAAGACTCCTGCAGCTAGCAGGATTCGAAATGGGGACCTTCGATATTGTGCACGAACTCTTAACCATTGGACCATTGGGCCGGCTGGTATCCAACGATGTTAATGTCTAACTCTGATTGATCTACGGATTTTGCGCGACCTAACGCAATTTGTCTTTGGCAGTTACTGCCTACACCCGACAGGGTTGAACTCCATTGGTCATGCACGTCTTCTCAACTAGAACTCCGAGAATTTCTTTACGAAGAAGCTATTCACTAGTGAGCACTGAGCCTGAAAATTATAAAGATTGTTGAGTGCTAACTGGATAGTCGATCATTGAATGTCTAACAAACATTAGAAAATTTGAAAGCATTAGATAGCCATCTCATTCTAGTATCGAACTTATCAGCGGTGTGTATCCATAACCTCTGCAGGTTCATATCAAACTAAGGAGCTTCGATAAAAAGGTCGAAAACAATCTACCTACTAATGTGTATACAGTAAGAGCTAAAAGCGAAGGGATAATGTTCGAAGTGAAGAATAATATTCCAAAGAAAATCTTAGGTTAAGAGGATTGAAAGCATTTAGTAATGTAGAACATGGCATACTTACTTACTTACGCTTATTACCCCCAATGGAGCAAAGGCCACCAACCAGTTTTCTCCAACCAACTCTGTCCTGGGCTTCCCTTTCCAGTTCTGAACAATGTTTCTTCATTCTTTTCATATCTTTCTCTATTTCTCGGCGTAATGTGTTCCTTTGCCGTCCTCTTTTCTTTTTGCCTTGAGCGTTCCATGTGAGGACTTGTTTTATGATGCAGTTAGGTGCTTTTCGTAGTGTGAGTCCTATCCACTTCCACCGCTTCTTCCTGATTTCCTCCTCCACTAGAATCTGGTTTGTTTTCTCCCACAGTACGTTGTTGCTGATGGTGTCTGGCTAACGAATCAGAAGTATTTTGCATAGACAATTGTTAATAAACATCGCATGGATGATACATTAAAATCTTTCAAGGTGGCTAATTGACAATCGATTCGAAGTCGCTTAAAGATTTTGCTGAAACTATAAAAATTTCAACGCCTGAGATTAAAATTCATATGTTCAATAAGAAACAGTATAACAGATCATTCGTTACTCTGTTCATATTGTATCCATTTTATGACATCATTCACGTCCGGACCACTAAGCTGGCCAGTATCCAAAGGTGTTAATGTCTAACTCTGATCAATCTAAGGATTTTTGTGCAGCCTCACTCACTGTGTTTGTTAAAGTTACTGCCTACACCCAACAGGGTTGAAAACCACTTGTCACATCTTTTATTTCATCGCATTTTTAATTGACTGTTTTTTCGACTACTTCATTACGCAACCATTTAAAGAGTGTTGACTCACTAGCTCGATATTCTGGAATGTTCTCTCACACATTTCAAAAATCTATGATCTTCGTATTTATCAATTTACTGCTTTCGGTGGAGCATAGGCCGCCGACAAGTACTCTCTAACCTAATCTGTCATGGCTCTTCCGTTCTAGTTCTGTACAATTTTTGTTCATCCTTCACATGTCTGTCTCCGATTCTCAGCATAATGTGTTCTTTGGCCTTCCTCTTTTCCTTTGACCTTGAGGGTGCCAAGTCCAGGCTTGTGTTGTGACACAGTTGGATGCCTTCAGCTATATGTGTATCCTATCCGCCAACTCATGCACTTCTTCCTGATTTCCTTGCTCTACTAGAATCTGTATTGTCCCCATCGACTGAAAACAGAAATTATTACTGAAATCTCATATTTTGGTAACTAGAAAAAATACTAATCTTCATGAAAATCGACAGGTTTATTGAAATTCAAGTTTATCATCAGTTTTGGGCTCATCGCAACACTGCACTTCTTATGATTCTGTCAACGGGAAAGAATCATCAAGCTTTGGATCTTGTTACAAGCGATTAACCAAAGCACTCCCTTGATGTCCACCACTTTCCTATTAGATGATACAGACGAAAAGTTTCCTTCTGAATTTCAAATCAATAAACCATGTGTTTATCAACAGAACACGAAATAAGTCTTCTGTCCCATATTAGGACATTCCATTGTCCCAGTGCTGTTGACATTCACCCTGACAGTCATAAATAAGATAAAATATATGTACTACATTCTGCTAATGTCAACTACTCAATAAGTAATTTACAAACTAACTGTCAAGGGATCTGTTCAAATGATCCCATCTGTCATTGTTGGTAAAACTTAAGTCTCAATAATTGTTGGGGATGTTAGTTTCCCAAAACTCGCTTGATAAATGCCTTATTTAGGATTTCACGTTTGCCAGCATGGGCTGATCAGTTGACCTTGAGATTTCACTTCCCACCAGCAAAATCCATGGTTGTGATTGACTGCTGTGTATTTTAGTGCGGTATTTTCGTAACTGTCCCAAGGAGGTTTCTCTGATGAATAAATAAACGAGAGTTGTGTGCTTGATTGTGTTGTGATTGCTAGGTGTTTTTAGAATATACTTTCTACGTTTATCAAGTCTTCTGTTTTGCAGTTTGGCATTCAAAGTAGCCTATCTGGACGCTGGTTCATTGTTTCATTCGCGTTTATCGACTAAGGTGAACTCGTTATTAGCTTCAAGCGTACCCAGTGACGAACATAACAATTTTAAATCAAGAACTAGTCTTAGACCTCAATGATCTGAAGGTTATGAGTTTGATTCCCGCGTTCGTGGATGCACACCTTGCTACGGAGTCCACCATATTAAGACGAACTAGTCGTTCAGTACTTGTAGCCTTCTAATCATGATCGAGTTGAGATTAGTTCGTGATTTCAACTATAAAAATAGAGACATTCATTCAATCTGTATTTTTCTTTTCAATGTACAATTGTTAACGTTTTACGTAATCAAAAAAAGGAAAAAACACGGATTACACAATTTTTAATCAGATAATTTTTTTTTGTCTGTCTGTCTGAAAAGCCATTGAAAATGAATTCATCCCAGTTTTACCATCAAAAAATTATTGAAATCTATGTATAGATCGAGTGATTGTTATGATAGGATGTGATTTTTTTCTTAAAAAATAGACAGAAAATGAGTTTTATGCAAAAGTTGTGATTGAATTTTTTCGTTAGATCAACATTAAAAACCTAGAAGCACTACTGGATGACTGTTTCGTCCCGCTGTAGATAGGACTCATCAAAAGTGGGTGTCGATAACTCCTCCTACTCTCAAAATTCGAACACAAGACCATTCTCGCGAACGCTAGCGGTGATTTAAAAATGATTCAATCATGATTTAAATTGTAAATAGCCATCTCCATCACTAGCGACTAGCTTCATGAGTGACAAGACATGACCAATGAAGTACAATCCCCCGCAATCCAGTGCTTCCAGGTTGTCTGACTCCGACTGTCGGAGTAATATTCTCTTCGATCAATCACTTTTAATTCAGCCTTGATGATTCCAAGCTATAGCTTGTCTTGTTAAGTAGTCTGGTGACATCCACTTTTCCTAATGTCTTCTTCAGTTGGAGTGTGGTTTGTTCTCTGCCAGAGTAGGTGGTTGTTGATGTTGCCTGGTCAAAAAGTCAGTCAGTCAGTCAGTCAGTTGCAACGTAGAACTTCGTACGTATGTATATAGGTGCTGACGAATCCAGAAGATTAAGATTTGAGAGAGCACAGCGAATGAATGCACTTGCGCCATTGCACAAGATTTTGAGCCATATCGTTCAAGGTCTCTAACCATTGATGACTTTCGTCTCGTGGACCCAAACCAGGTAGTCTACATCTACCAACATGACTCAGTCCACTTGTCAGTGACTTCATGGATTTGTGCCATGTTTTGGTTTGGCCGCCCCTAGCTTTTTTCCAGCTTACTCCTACACCACAAAACATAGCTCGTCGAGGCAGTCGGTGGTTAGGCATTCGTAACACATGTCCCAACCACCACCACTTCATCAATTGATCTGCCATCCTTACCTAGCACCCGTTTCCTAACCACAGCATTTCTTACTCGGTTGTCCGACGGTATACGAGCAATGCTTCTTAAACATCTATGATCGAATACTAGTAACCTACGAACATCTTCTACTCTTAACGGCCATGTTTCACATCTATATAGGAGAATGGAGCGAACTGCTGCACAGTACACTCGTCCTTTGGTTAGCGAACGGATATCACGCCTACGCTATAAATGACGCAGGTTGGCAAAAGCCAATCGAGCTTTCTGTATCCGTGCTGAGATTTCTTCAGTTACCAGGCTATCAGCACTGATGAGACTCCCCAGATAAGTGAAGTCAGCAGTATGTTGTGTAGGCGATTGTCGATAGATAGATAGCTAGTCTCAGCTTCATAGAATGAAACTGAAGATCAAGTCTTTGGTGTTGGTTTACAGTTTGTTCTGAATCGTAAATATTTATTTTTTTTCACTTTAAAACAACACAATCCTGTAAGCCAAAATAATTTCTCTTCTCTTCTCTTTTCTGTTTCTCATTTATTCACACTTGTAAAGCTGTAACAACTGGTTCATGTTTTGCAAAACGACTAAACAGTGGTAATTGTATTGGTTTAATGAAAGACAGTATAACACAGCTGGAATGTTGTAAACGACGTGGTTTCTATTTAAATCGTCAAATTACTCAACAAGAATATTTAACAGATCATTTGCTGTTTGAATCCGGTACACCGAATTGTGTACAAGCCTGTGATGAAGGTAAGAATGAATGTTGTGTATGATAATTGATTTTGTTATAAACGTCATAACTATATATAAATATATGCAGATATTGATTAGCTGATTGAAAACACATATGACCTAGGAAGTCGTTAAGATGGGACAGTTGATAACTTCCATGAGGACTGGTTAGATTTGATCTAGTGAGACATGTACACAAGGTTATCATTAGAATGATTTCAACTGTCAGTGACCTCTGATCGAATTGAGATTTAACATATAACCTAGGAAGTCGTTAAGACGTAAGCGTGATCTTCTGAAGGGACGGGACAGCTGATAATTTCCATGAGGACTGGGTAGATGTTATCTAGTGAGACATGTACACAATGTTATCATCAGCATGATTTGAACTGTCAGTGACCCCAATATCGCATTGAGATTTACACACTAAATAGTAAACGATTTCATGTTTGCCTTAGCCTCAGTACTGATCGAATTACAAATTGATCAGAAGAACTTGAGGTAAAACAACAACATTATTTTCCTTAGATTATTTATTCTAATGTCAACAGACTAGTTACACTTCAGTTTTTACAATCCGAAACACTTGTAAATTTGACCTGATATACTTACTACTTACAAAATAAATGATTCCATCACAAATGATGACTGTCTCAAAGAAATTGTAAATTCAAGGGGGGGACATTTTATAGTTGAAATAAAATTCAATCTTACCGATTTTTCGGTAACGATTGTGAAATGTTTGTTAGGAAATGTTTTTTAGGAGATGAAAACACATCTTTTTCAAAAGCAAATATTGCGGGGTTGTTGTGAAGATTGTTAAGTTTTATTTGTAACCATGAATCGATCAATGTTAGACCACCATTAGAAACCTGGAAGCACTGGACGGCCGTTTCGTCCTGGTATGGGACTCATCAGCAGTGTGCATCCACGACTCCTGCTCCTCGCAGAATTCGAACACAGAACCTTCGGTATTGTGCGAATTGTTCGAATTCTGCGAGGAGCAGGAGTCGTGGATGCACACTGCTGATGAGTCCCATACCAGGACGAAACGGCCGTCCAGTGCTTCCAGGTTTCTAATGGTGGTCTAACATTGATCGATTCATGGTTACAAATAAAAGAAAATATGTACAAACTTAATTGGTCATTTCACGTATTTATTGAATCAATCATGTAATTAACGTCAAAAACAAGTTATCTCTTTCTTTCCTTCTCCGTACACGTAAATTATATATCGATTGCACGCATAATCTATTCAAGCGCGTATATTAAGAAAAACGTTTACAAGCTATCATTTCAAAAAGTACAATCTGAGAGATCTCAATCGTTGGGCAATATGCTGAGAAAAGACTGTGAATGTCCATAAGATTTTATTGCTTGAACTGCTTATTGTCAACTACTAATCACTATTTGCTTTTCACTATAGAGTTATGGAGATTAATGAGTTTCATTGACAACATGAAGCAATCAAAACCTGGAAGCACTGAACAGCCATTTTGTCCTAGTATGAGACTCATCAGTGGTAGTGCCCACTAACAACTCCTGCTGCTCACAGGATTCTAACCTAGTGTGGTGCGAGCTACCTATAAGTAGTATATGACGTGAGTGTCAACATAATGTCTGGCAGCAGAAGATGGGGGAAGATCAAGAAAGGAAGAGTGGGAACACAATGGAATTTGTATGAACGCATGAATAGTGACAATGGATTGATGTTTTGCAACAGGAACAGTCCAGTTCGATATGATGGACTGATATTTTGCAAATTAACGATTTACGATATGGTTTTCCGATTTTACTGAGTAACTCTGTAATTTTCACTAAATACAATCCGGTTGCCCCACCTGTGTTCTCCTTTACAACACTAGGACCGTCTGTCTCGTGTGTGCAAGCCTACCCTCCAACGCTGTTAATGTAGAGATATGATCAATCTAAGGTTTTAAGCAACCCCACCTATTATATTTTGTGGGTAATTGCCTACACCCGACAGGGTTAAACTCCACTGTTCGTGACTTCTCACTAGAACTCCGAGAATTTCTTCATGAGGCTATAGCCACTAGTGATTACACTAGGGATTGATTAAAGTTAGACATTAACACTGCTACCAGACCGAAGGCTCTAGGTAAGATTCTCGCAAGTAGGAGTCGTGGATGCGAACTGCCATTGATAAATCCCATACCAAGACGAAACGACTGTTCAGTGTTTTCAGGTTTCTAATAATGATCGATTCATAATTTCAACTGATCGGTTTATCAAGAAAACTTGTTTGAAACTGTGTATTATTTTCATTCTGTCATTATTTACTTATTCTTTCAATTAAATTATAGAATTACCTTCAAGCTGTAAAGGATACGTTTGTCCTGAAGGACATTATTGTCGTATGATTAATAATGAACCAAAATGTAAATGTCGTTTACGATGTACTGCAGCCGATTATTTAACTGGTCCATTATGTACTACGAATTTACGACGATTTCATAATCAATGTCATTTGAAACAAGCACGTTGCGCGTTACCAAAAGAAAGTCTTGAAGTGATTCCATGTCCAGATGAAGGTTTACGTTGTTCTGAGTTGAGTATTTTATCAGAGAGAAATTTCAATTTAAATTCTATGCTGAAACAATTGTACTCAGGCGGTAATGAGAATGATGATGTTGATGTCGGTGATGTTGGCGATGACGTTGAAGAACAAAGCAAACATACACCGTCATTATTTTCAACGCTGACTTCAACAAGTCCAACTAATAAACCTATTCAATCATCATCTTCATCATCAACAAACAATCAAGAATATATTGACAATGACAATGAGAATATCATCATAATGAATCGTAAATTACCAACTGATTCAAATGCTTATCTTTTTTCAAGTATGAACAAATTTAACAACAATGATGAATCGATATTCGATGAAAAATCCCTTTATTCTAATGTTGAATTATCGAAAGAATTAATTTGTAATGCAAATGAATATTGTCTGTTGCGTCAATTTGATGGACGTCCATCATGTGAATATTGGAGTGAAGAATCATGGCAAACATTGACTACATGTCCTGAGTCAACATTTCATCAACCAATGTGTAGTATAGATAATCAAACATTTTATAATAGTTGTGATTTGAAATTAGCCGGATTAAAGAATCAATTAGAGACAAGAATTGCTTATAAAGGAGAATGTCGTAGTAAGTATTTTTGTTAATTATTAATATGCAATATAGAGTTGTGAAGTTGAGTTGAGTTACTATTTGAAATCATGAATCAATACATGTTAAACCACCATTAGGAATCTGGAAGCACCTGGATGGTTGTTTCATCCTTGTATGAGACTCATCGGTGACAGTGTACATCCACGACTCCTGATACTGGCAACATTTGAACCCAGGACCTTCGATTTTGCGCGTGACAATTGAACTGGCGATATTCAACGGTGTTGATGTCTAACTCCACCCATTGTCTTCGATGGATTGATCGAAGTTAGATGAGGTTAGGCGTACGCATACAAGTACAAAGGTCCTGATTTCAAATCCTACTAGTAACGGGAGTCGTGGATGAGCATTGCTGTTAAGTAGTCTAACATTGTTTGATTCATGATTTCAATTTTAAATGTGTGAATTCTTGCGTATACATTCATTGCACAGATACGAGCAAGAGTGGGCAAGAGTTCGCTTTTTCTCTCTCTACCGAATCGCTCTCATATAGTCCTGAGTATACAGTCATCATCAGAGCTGTCCTATCAACTACTATCTCATGGTATAGGTGTTGCTTGAAAAACTGAGAGGACGAAAACTGAATGTATGACTCTTTGATCAGGTTAGTGGTTATTGGAAGGTCCATAACACATGGGAGTCGGAAAATCCTCACTTCCAAACACTAGTGCACATTTTCTCCAGTGTCATGAAGGTAAAAATGTCGTATGGACGTATTCTTAGTTATCAGTTAGCAGAGGACCGCATCATCTAACGTTGCTACACGTATCTTGTGGAGATTAAATCTTCGGACCAAAGTTTCGTTGAATGGCCCGTTAGGAAAAACCTCATGGTTCGGTTTGGTAGTCCAGAAAGTCTCTCATTGCATTTCTGAAAAGATTTCGGCATTACTATCTGCGATCCTGAAATATATTGAAATGAATGTCGTCAAGTTCATTTAGTTATTTAAACACTGAACTGATTTTGATTTCACGTACAGTTTTTTAAAATATTAATATGATCGATCCTCGCAACTTTAATGATGATCACACTGATGGCACATGAACCAATTGTAATGAACGAAAAAGTTACCAGCACATCCACTACATACTACTTATAAGTCACGTTGCAAGTAGTATCTACTACACCATTCGGCCCATTAAACTATCGCGTTGTGATAGTTATCTTTTGCCGAACATAAACTAGTAAAAAACTCTTGATAGTACATGTATTTTAGCTACCAAGTTTAAAATAAAAACAACCAGACATTGTGTTCTTGATTTCCAATTAAACAAAACAAGAACCAAACAGACGAACTGAAAAAAACACAAATTAGAAGTAATCAGTTTTTGTCAGATAAACTTGATTTACTCACTTACTTACTTATGCTTGTTACACCTAGTGGAGCTTAGGCCGCTGACCAGTATTCTCCAATCTACTCTGGCGTTCCTGTCTAGTTCTGTCCAATTATTGTTCATTCTTCTCATGCCTGTCTCAATTTTTCGGCTTAATGTGTCCCATGGTCTTCCTCTTTTCTTCTGGCCTTAAGGATTCCAATTGAGGTCTTGAGCTGTGATGGAGTTGGGTGCTTTCTTCATTGTGTGTCCTATCCACTTCCACCTCTGGAATCGGGTTTGTTCTCTCCGAAGTATTCTGAGTAGACAACAGTTAATGAACTCCTGTATCGTCTGGATGATCGCTTTCGTAGTCGTCCTGGGCTTGGGATCGTTAGTAGCCCCAGAGGGGCTCTTAGGAGAGTCATATCATCTTGATAATAAAGGGAGAATTTCATTCAAATACTTTGTGTTGATATGACAAACATTAAGAAGTGATTTTGATCAGTGATAGGATAAAAAACTCTCCAATATTTGGAAAACATATATCGTTTATCTTTTCAAGTGAACACACTGATATTTCAGTGCTTACCGAATCGTTTTCAGTTGTAACACCTGTCAGCTATTCGACTGTGTGCCAATGAACAGTTCTGAATAATTTATTTTATAAATATGAGAGTTGAATTACTTCATCGAAAGCACTAGGCGGCTGCAATGTCCTGGTATGGGACTCATCAGCAGTGCGTATCCACAACTTCTGCCACTCTCGGGGTTCGAAACCGGGACCTTCTGTCTTTCGCGCGAATGCTTAACGTCTGGACCACTGAGCCGGTATCTAACTGTTTTGATGTCTAACTTGGATCAATCCACGATCTTACGCAACCTGATCCACTGTCTTTGATGAGCATTGATTCACAGGCGAATAGGGTTGAACTCCACTGATCAATGAATAATGTTACAAATTAAAGATCAGTAATCGAATTTTTAAAAAGAGTTACCTGACAAACTAATGTTTACCTTTATTCGTTTAAAATTTTTTTTCTCTTAGGCAAAGCTACTTGTTCTAACGTTGAATGTCCAAGAGCTGGAATGCGATGTACACCGCATCATTTAACTGGTCAACCAGTATGTATGGATTGTGCAAAACTACCGTTAGACTGTAATGCATCATTTAGAAATGGACAAGAAACACTGACACCATCAGCATCTTCATCATTGTCATTATCACCGTCGTCAGGAATCACAGCAACATCCACAACAACCACAAAGAGGCGAACACAAGTATTCGGTGATCCAGTTTGGAAAACACCAGTGCAAACATATGGTTGGCCAATTGTTTGTGGATCAAATGGGAAAACTTATCGTAACACATGTTTTCTTCATGTTGTCAATTGTTTAAGTGATAAATTTGTTGAATTGAAGAAACCAGAATTTTGTAGTGGTAAGTTGAATTAGCAGAGTATACAATATTTCAGTTCAGTTGACACATAGTGAAAGTGATTAATCACATGAGAAATGTTGTACAAAAACCTTCAAAGACGCAGTTTACTAGTCAAATGTGTTCAGCTGATTTTCAAAACTGTCATTTGGAAAACAAACAGATAATTGACTGGCTTCTTTTACATGTCTTTGATTGCGCCATACATCCTGGGATCCGATACTCCAACATCTGGGTGATATACTCCACTTTATATCTAATGCATAGTATTTATGAGCCACGTTGCTAGTAGTAGTATATACTACACATTGAGTAATTATCAAATTCTATTTGATGTAAGTCACATAGCTAGTGTATACTACTAGTATATACTACTCACAACATGGCTTTTAAGTTGTATGTAGTGGATTTACAACAGACTGTCGCCCAGAACTTTCTGTTGAGGTAATTGTCGGATCCGGATGTATGGCGCATGTGAAAGAAAAGAGCTAACAATCCAATGTTTAGAAAATGCAGTTGGCTAGTCAACTGCGTCTTCTCTCAATACACCGCTTACTTCATCTAATCATAAGGTCCTCACTTGATACACCAGTAGCAAATATTATTCAATTATGTTTGACTTGTATTGCAACTTAGTTAGTATTGATTTGTCAATGTTCACACACTGTGCAAATAATGTTCATTGTTCAATGTTGGTTGAAAGCAGCAATTTATTTGTTTATTTATTTGAGTAACTGATTCTACAAATAATCAATAGTTGAATAACCCGCAAAGAAAATGACTGAGTTCAATTCACTCAATCAGTATGAATACAGTGTAAAAAAATCAATATTTTGAAATTACTCTGAATTTCATTAAGTCATATGGTGTATTGATGAAAATAGTTTGTTCTCTCAGATTATTGATTAGTATTCTTGAATTCAGTTCAATAATTCATTTGATTAACTGGTGTAGTTTAATGAAATCCACTATGAATGGATCAGTGTTAGACCATCACTTGAAACCTACAAGCACTGGATAGTCGTTTCGTGTTAGAATAACTTAGTGAGTGAGGGGTCGAACCCGAAACCATCGATAATGCGTACAAAAGTCGATGTTAATGTTTAGCGTTAATCACTCCTTGATCTTGTTCGACCTTCATCCATTGAATTTGGTGGATAATTGTCTCATACACGACACAGACTGAATTACACTGATCATGGCTTTTCAGCAGAACTCTGACAATCTCCGCACAACTCTAGGCACTGGTGATCGCATGATACTTGTCATTTTGGAGCTGTGAAGATTGTTGAGTTAGTTTTGAAATCAAGAATAGAACAAACTTAGAACATTGTACATTTTAATATTTATTTTGGGGCAGCATTTTGGAGGTTTGTGTTTTTACACATTTGAAATCATCAATCAATCATTGTTAGACCACCAATTAGAAACCTGGAAGAAGCACTGGACGGCCGTTTCGTCCTGATATGGGTGAGGTAGCGCAAAATCCCTAGACCAATCAGAGTTAGACATTCACACCGTCGGTTGCCGTCCCAGTGGTCCGATGGTTAGGCGTTCGCGCACAATACTGAAAGTCCCGGGTTCGAATCCTGCGAGGTGCAGCAGTCGTGGATGCGCTCTACTGATGAGTCCCATACCATAAACATCAGGTAATCTTGCATTGAACTCATGAATGAATCATTGTTAGATCATCATCATTAGGAATCTAGAAGCTCTGAAGAGCAATCAAGTTCTGGAATGAGATCTATCAGCAGTGAGTATCTACGCCGCCTGCTACTCACAGGGTTCGAACCCAGGACCTCAGGTTTTGCACGTGAATGTTAATAGAGGACTAACAATGATTCATTCATGATTTCAGTGGTAATTATGCATGAACATTGTAAAATAACAAGTTTTGTCGATTGAAACAGATTTGATAGACATGTTAATGGTCGATGATACACGCTGTTACATATTTAACAATGAATTATAGAAAAACACAATATTCCTTTTAATAATGTTTTTTTGAAAAAAAGTATTTTAAATATATGAGGTTTTAAACTTTACGTTGTTGTTATAGAATCTTACTTACTCGACCATGCTAGCCGTTGTGAAACATAGATCACCAACCAGGGTTTTTCAATCAGTTCTCTGTTAGACTCTCCTTTCTAGTGTAATTCATGATTTTGATGTCTATCTCCGACTATCGGAGTAATGTTCCCTTTGTACTACTTCTTTTACCTCAACCTTGACGATTTCAAGTTATGACTTGTCTTGTGAAACAGTTCCATGATTTCCACATTGTGTATGCAATCCACTGATAGCGTCTGTTCCTCATTTCTTCCTCAGTTAGATTGCGGCTTGTTCTCTGCCGGAGTAGGTTGTTGTTGATGATGCCTGGTCAACAAATAGGGAATATGTTGTGTAGGTGATTGTCGATAGATAGCTATATTTTTTGAATGGTGGTTTTTTCCGTTCTTCGAGTTTGAGCTTCATAGAATAATAAAACTGTCGTGATACTCATATTACTTACTTACTTACTTACTTACTTACGCCTGTTACCCACAATGGAGAATAGGCCACCAACCAGTTTTCTCCAACCAACTCTGTCCTGGGCTTCCTTCTCCAGTTCTGTCCAATTTTTGTTCATTCTTATCATGTCTTTCTCTATTTCTCGGTGTAATGTGTTCCTTGGCCTTCCTCTTTCTTTTTGCCTTGAGGGTAGCATGTGAGGGCTTGTCTCGTGACGCAGTCCGGTGCTTTTCGTAGTGTGAGTCCTATCCACCTCCACCGCTACTTCCTGATTTCCTCCTCCACCGAGATCTGGTTTGTTCTCTCCCACAGTACGTTGTTACTGATGGTGTCTGGCCAACGAATCCGAAGTATTTTGCTTAGACAACTGTTAATAAATACTTGTATCGTCTGGATGATGGCTTTCATAGTTCTGCAAGTTTCCGCTCCATACAGTAGAACTGTCTTGATATTTGTATTGAAAATCCTGATTTTGATTTTGGTTGAAAGTTGTTTGGAGTTCCGGATATTTTTCACTTCTCCGAGAGTTCGTCCATCAAGTGTGATTTATTTGATACTGATCTATCGTAACATGGAATGATTTACTAAGTTATTAGATTGGGAATTTAATACTTGAAGTCATAGGTATTGAGTTGTAGTCTCAGTGTATTAATCTCAACGACATAAATCCACTGGTATATTCAGCAAATCAATAGGAAATAAGACATAACAGGTGTTATGAATTTCTTAACCAATCATTATACAATAAATAAAATACTGTTTAGTATTGCTTTTAATCAGTTGTACTTCGTGATGATGAGAAGTAAAATTTCGAAATATCATTTAAATTATAAGAGATTTTTAAAAAAAATTCACTGTTCAATAAGCAGCAGCATGGAACATTGAAGATTAAGGTGATGATTTGATATACTCATTTAAATGCGATTGAAAATCTAGGTCTTGCTTTCTACTCCTGTTTAATTGTTGTTCATTTTTCTCAGGTCTGTCTCCATTACTCGGCTTAACGTAATCATTGGTCTTCTTATTTTTCCTTTGGTCTTGAGGACTCAAAGGGAGGGCTTGCGTTGTGACACAGTTGAGAACTGTCCTCAAAGTGTGTCTTAGCTACTTCTAGCGCTTCTTCCTGATTTATTCCTCCACTGGAATCTGGTTTATTCTCTGTCACAGTAGATTGTTGCCTGTCGATGTCTGGCTAACCGATCCGAAGTACAGCATTATAAGTCTATATTGTAGGAAATTAACAGAGATACTGCGTTTGTACTGGATTCACACTACTCTACAACAAAGATTATCCTGTATTCACGAAAGAATGAAGTCAAAGGGGAAAGTTCTGTAAATCTAGCCAATAGCCATGATGATCAGCGCCAAACAGGTGGTGTTGAATGTGAAGAAGTTATCCGCTGGAAGACAATAGAAGAAGGTTGATTGACTGACAGTAGACTTGGATGCTATTAAATACCAAGACATTAGTAGGCTATAGGTTTGTTCTATACTGAGACGAAATATCCATCAAGTTTTACCAGATTTTCAATGATTTTCTAACTTAAAAAGGTTTGTAATCTTAATGAAAGTTCAACATTCTCAACAACTCCATACAAGGTAAATTCTGTCTTATCTTATACTACTGATGAGGAAAAATCAAAAATCAAGAAAATAAATTGTATTCTACACACGCAGAGATTGCTAACGATGGAATTCAAAATAATCGTGTTGTTCAAATTATGAATCATCAGCTGCATTTCACAGATAATGTTCACTCGAAGACTCCAATCCAGTACATTACGCTTCAAATGCCACCAAGTTATCCATACAGCTACTCAGTTCAAATAGCCACTAACCTGTCTAATGGGATGAAGATTCTCATTGACGGACATCCTGAGCGAATTGTATCAATATTGCCTTTTACATGACACGTATCATTAGCAGCGGTGTATAGTGTCTATCATTGTGATATGCTTGAAACTATTACGAGTTTACCTTACTCGCCAAACGAGAGCGAAGCAATGATTCAGTGACACATTAGACTATTCTAATCTGTTTCTCCGGCCCGGCTAACTATATCAAGAAGACTTGATAAGGCGTAGAAAGTGTATTCTACAAGCACCTAGAAAATACGAGGTTCACAAGCACACAAATTAAGTTTATTTATACATGATAGAAACGTCTTTGGGAGAGCCACCAAAATAGCGTACTAAAATAACACATCAACTAATGACAGTCGAGGATTTTCCGAGTGGGAAATGTCATCTTAAGGTCAACTTAGTAACTTATGCGCGAAAACACAAAAATCGAAAAATTAGTACCTTTATCAAATGAGTTCTGGAGATCTAACCTCCCCCAACACATTAGAATCCTGAACTTACGTTTCTTCCTATTTGGGATGTACCTGCATCTCACTCCTTGACTCAAAAAACCAGTATATTACTTTGCAAACACCCACTATATATTCGCAAAGGCTACACGCTAAACTTCACCAGAGCAAGGTGGCCCGC